ATCCCCAAATTCTCACCTGATGGCCCCCCTGCGACTGTGCCTGTCTTAGGTTGTTCCTCCCTTGAGGAATCTTACCCGTCTCTGGCTAACCAGTCATCTTCCGGGGCCATACAGGGACATGTAAAGTTGGTAAGTGAGAGAGAAGCCATATTGTTTGCTACCAGCTTTTTGCATGCAATACTGTTGTTTTGTTGTCTATTCTTAAAATCCAGGTTGAGGTTGCAGTCTAACTTAATCATGCTCTCTTCCCTGAACATGACTGGCCAATGATCTTGTTCTGTTCTCTATTCCTATCTCATACAAAGTCTCATTTGTATAACTGTGTATTTGATTATGTAGTTACCTTTTATTGACCATAATAGTTCTTGCTGTAATGTTCTTCTCTTGGCTATAAATACCATAAGCAATTTGAGAGTAGAAAACATGTCTTATACTTTATTTCCTGAAATATTTAACACAAATTTACTATTAGAATACAGTTGGCACCGAACAACACAGGTTTGAACTGACTGGGTCCACTTATGCACAGATTTTTCTCAATAAATATATTGGAAAAACTTTTGGAGATTTGCAACAATTTGAAAAAACATTTTTTCTCTAGCTTACTTTATTGTAAGAATACAGCATATAATACAAGCCTGGTAAGGCTTCCAGTCAGCAGTAAGTTATTAGTAGTTTGAAGTTCTGAGTCAAAAGTTATATGTAGATTTTCCCCTGTGGAGGTGGGGTAGTTGGAACTCCTAACCTCCACACTGTTCAAAGATCAACTGTAATTGTTGATTACTTGGCCAACCTGAGAGTTATAGAAGCCAGATTGACTTTGTGGTGGGCAGAACCCCATAATCCTAAAATGGCCCCCAAGATCCTAGGCCCTGGCATATACCCTGTATGTAGGTGGGAGGAATGGCCACTCACTTTATTATCTTACATTATATGGCAAAGGTAACAGTACAGTCATTTCATTTCCAGCATTACATCCCATTGTCTAAAACTCAATCTTAGACTGGAGAGAAAGACTGCCCTGCTGGCTTTGAGGAAGTGACCAGCTGTATGAAAGGGCCTGTGAAAGGGTGGCCTAGCCAGGACCTGCAGAGGCCTCCAGAAGCTAAGAGCAGTCCCCACCTGACAGCTAACAAGGAAGTGGAGACCTCAGTCTGCAGCTGCAAGGAACTGAACTGTGCCAAGGGAAGAGAGCCCCAAGCTTCAGAAAGGAATACAGCCCAGCTGACTCCCAGACTTCGGCCCTGTGAGACCCTGAGCAGAGCCCAGCTAAGCTGTGCCATCCCAAACTTCTGACCAACAGAAACTATGAGATAACAGGTGTTGTTTTAAGCTGCAAGTCTGTGGTAATTTGTTATGTAGAAAACTAACTTTCAAAGGCATTTATTCTAGGTTGTAGAAAACCAAGTGTTCTCTAGTTTTGCTAACTTACAAATGCCAGATTATTATAGATTATACCAATTTTACCAGAAGGCAAGAGAGATCATTGTATCAAAAAATCATTAAATAAAACAGAAAATGGACAAAGGATAAATGAGGCAGTTTGACAAGAAATGAAATGGCAAAAAAGGTACTTGAAAAAAATATACAACCTTATTCATAATTAAACAAACACATACCAAACTATCTAAATGGTACTTCTCTTCTTTCACACTGGCAATAACTATTGTCTGATAACAAAACCTATGCATCATGAGGATGGTAGAAACAGCCTCATACTGCTGGGTGGCAGCACAAGCTGATTACCCTTCTCAGAGGGCAATTTGGCAGTATCTACTAACATTCAGAACACACACAACGTACAGATTTGACTAGTTCATAGGAAAAATTCCATTTGCCCTACCATTAAACGATAAACACAAGTTCAAGATTTATGACCTGGTGTGACATAAAGAAAAATCTTTTTAGATGTTTAAGAAGAGAAATCAAGAAACACTGCTTGCTACAATAGCCAGCTGAGGCCCAGTGAGCAAAATCTGGTACTCTATTCAGGGAGGCCTCCCATTATTCTACAGAAAGAGGAAAAAGTACAGATAGTCTTTGCCTTAGCAATTTCAATGTTAGGCAGTTGGCTTAAGGGTGTATTTACAAAAGCACACCAGAGTCAATGTCCAAGGATAGTCCTGTGTATCCACACCATGGGATGTACAATAAAAAAGGGGTGGTATAAACTAGCAATACAGAAAGATATATTAACTGAAAAACCAAGATCCTGAACAAGCACAGATTTTTCTCTAGTGTAACGTCTTTTATATAAACAAAATAAGGGATACGTGCAAAAAAATTTCTGGAAGGCTAGACTAAAAACTGTTAACAGTGGTTATCTTTAGAGAAAAGATCTGTGGGGCAAAGGTTGGTAAGATGAAGGCTACTTTTCATTTAATTCTTCCTATAAAGTCTTAATTTCTACCTTAAATGATCTTTCAATAATTTGTGTCAGTATGTTATATTTGCCTGATCCCAAGAATCCTCAAATGAAATTCAGAAAGAGGGCAACACAGTTTAAAGAATAAATAAATGTTTAAGATTAGTATATACCAGGTGTTATAAAAAATGCTCTCATTTGTCCCACAAAAGTCCTATGAGGTGAGGATCAGCTTTTAAATGAGGTTTAGTAACTTGCTCTAGATCATGTAGCTTGAAAAATGTTGAGCTATTTTATCCTAATACTCATTTTTATCCTTTTCATTTTGGAACATAACAATATAATTCCCTATATGATTATTTAAGTATGTCTCATCTAGAGAGACCGGTTATACAGGTTATGAAAAGTAAGGACTTGACCAACATTGTTTGAATCCTCTTAAGTACACCATAAATACCTTCTAAACCTAAAAAAAACTAGAGTAAGTTTGTAATTTATTTTGACATTTTTGTTTGCACACAAAGTTAAGGTACAGGAATAACTGAGGAAGTATAAGCCTCACTAGCTTACTTCAATAGTAAGTAACCAGATGATTTCATATTTCTGACTTAAGCACTTTCTCTAAACAGGTTCCATTTTTTTTTTGTATCATTAATATACACTTACATGAGCAACACTGTGGTTACTATATTCCCCCCATTATCAAATCCCAACCACATACCCCATTACAGTCACTGTCAAAAGTAAGATGCTATAGAATCACTACATCTTCTTTGTGCTATACTGCCTTCCCTGTGAACAGGCTCCATTTTTAAAAATGTTTCTCTTCCTCAAGACATTCTTTAAAGAATGCTTAAGTGAAGTGGGTAAGATCTAAGTACTATAGACCTTTAAAAGATGTTTCCTTAAATGATGCAACAAACATTACTTAAAGCTATATTTTTTCCTATCCTATAAAGATAAGTGATCTTTATTTTATACCTGACTTTAATTGGATTGCATCTAATGTTTCATCAAGTATATTTGCTGTGTACTTTAAACCTAGTTTGCCAATAATTTTAATCATAAAAATGAATTAAACTGTTTCATTCCTAGGCATATGACCAACAGAATTGAAAACATAGGCTTATACAAAAACTTGTACACAGATGTTCATAGCAGCATTAATCGTAATAGCCAAAAAGCAGAAACTACCCAAATGTCCATCAACAACTGGATAAACACACTGTGGCACATCCATAAAATGGAACATTATTCATCCATAAAAAGGAATGAAGTTCTGATACATGATACAATGAATAATAAAAACATGATGCTGAGTTAGAGAAGCCAGACATAATGCACTCACATTTGGTGACTGGGTGTATATGAAACGTCAAGAACAGGCAAAACCACAGAGACACAAAGGGTACCAGTGGCTGCCAGAGGATGGTCTGGGGACAGAAGACTGGGGAGTGACTGCAATGGGATTTCTTTCTGAAGTGACAAAAATGTTCTGAAACTAGACAGGGTCTATGGTTGCACAACTTTGTGAACCCACCAAAACCACTGAACTGTATATCTAAATGGTGGATTTTATGGCATTTGACCTATATCTAAAAAAAATGCATTGGATTTTACCAGTGTTTTTTCTGCATCTATTGAGATTGTCTTATTGAACTTGTCAATGTAGTGAACTATAGATTTTCTCACTTTTACCATTCTAGAATTCATTAAATAAAGCCTCTTGATATAACATTGTTTAATTTCCTGCTGCTTTAATTAAGTTCACCAATTTTTTTATGTGGTATTTCTGCATCCTAGCTCATTACAGGACAAGGTCATCACTGTCTTGTGCGCTCTCCTCTGGTTTTGATACCAGGATCATGCTAGTCTTGTAGAATGAGTAGCTTTCCATTCTCTGACACAGTGTGCTTGGGATGTGAACAACCTGTTCCATGAAGGTTTGGTACTGATCCTTCACGAACTCTTTTGGCCTGTAGCCTCTTTGGAGGATAAATCTTTTACTCTTATTTAAGTTTTATCATCATTAGTCTGTTCAGTTTCTACTTGTTTTTTTGGGCGCATTTTGGGAATTCTATATATTTTCCTGGAAAATTGCCCATTTCATGTTAAAGCTGGTATTTCTTAGAGTAAGGATCAGAGTTTTAAGAGAAGGAATCAGTATTTGTTCAGCATTACGTCTTCTCATCCTGGCACCGAAGGGCTCCACAGTGAAAAGACCATGGGTTTTGAGACAAACCCAGTTACAAATATTGCTCTGCCACTTACAACTGCCTGTATGATATGGTATGATCACAATAATGTAGAAAATAATATATATACAGAGAGAAGACTAGAAGAATCTACACAAAACTAATGGGTTCTCTCTGGGTGTTGGGATCAGGATGACCATATTTCTTTATTCATCTTCTATTGTCTAGACTTTCTGCAATAACACTATTTAAGTATTCTGCTTGCCATGCAGCATTGATAAATGACTTTGGGTAACTCCATTTATATCAGGGAGAAAAGGCTAAGCTTTTATTGACATGATAGGATTATATTTTGCTCATTTACCTCCCTCCATATGCATGAAAGACAACAGATTCCTTTCCTGTACTAATACAGCCAGTGATTGTCTCCAACATTCCAGAGTTGACCATTTTATACATAAGCAAACGTGTCTTAGGATCAACTGCTTTTTCCTGCAAAAGACAAACAACTATAAGTGAAAATGACTGGTAATCAAAAGCATTTTATGAGTCATTTCTAATATCTAACATTTAAAATATTTACTTTTTTAACCTTTATTACTTAATTTACAAAGATGTACATTTTAACAGGCTCTTAAAAGAGTACTGTCAAGACAGAATTCATTCCTATGACTTTAATGTCTTGGAAAGTGAGACACCACCGTATCTCCAAAGTTTAAATAGCTCTCCTAATGTACTTACTATTAAGTTTTTTTCTAAAGGTTTAAAAATTAGTTTATTCTCAAGATATTAGATACTATCTTCATTAATGTAAAACATTAGACACTATCAAGTTATTACATGTCATAATGTGACAGGAAAACTTTTTTTTTAAATCTTGAAAACTCATATGCAATGTAAACTTTACAGTCTAAATTAATTATGACCACTAAAATGTTAGTTTAAATAAGTGTTACCAACCATTACATTAATCTGAAAAGTCAAATAGCAAAGCTGCTTGGATTTTATTTGTATCTTTGATCTGAAAGCCAATTTCATGAAAAAAATACCAAACAGGAAGTTTTGTTTTGTTTTTTTCTCAAACATGATGTTTTCTAATATGGATCTTTCCATTAAAGACTAAAACATAAGAATGCTCACTGCAGTAGAATGCTCCTTTTTCTCGTGGAGGCGGGCACTTCGACGTTCTTCTGAGTAGGCATGTTGCTTTAAAGCATTGAAAACATGGTTTGATAGTTTCAAATCCATTCCAATTCCATCTCCTACCTGAAACCCAGGTGCAAACTGCCAAAAAGAAGAATTACCATCTGAATACTTTAAAATGAGGACAGTAAAAACAAATAAGGAGAAGATAAGTCTTTACTTTGAACAGGTTTCCTACTCAACAGATAATCAGGCTAAACAGAAAGCAGAACCAAAGGTGTTAAAGAGAAAAGGTACCTAATAATAAACCCAAGAGGAAGGAGACTATTTCTAGAATTTAGTATGTTTTACTTAATAAATAATTGTGTTCTTAAATGTTGATGTTTTATATTAACAGTATTTATGAAAAGGAAAAATGCTAATTTTTTTTCTATTTTTTTTCAAAAATTACATTTTATTTCTGATTTTGCATGGGTAGTTCAGGTACAGGATTAAAAATTCATAAAGTATAAAAGGGTATATTGTACGAACAATTCAGCTCTCCCATTTCTATCCCCCAATCGCCATTGTTATCTGTTTCTTGAGTAGGGGTGCTATTCTATAGAAAATAATATACTGAAAATAAATGTTACTTTTATAAGAACTGTTTCTTAATTTTAGAATCTATGTAAATCAAGCTGGTTTTCTTAATATTATTGTAGAATTTTATTCTGGGGTATATTACATTCTCATTAGCAGCTGAGTTTTCATGGTATTATTATATTGTCATCTAAAGTATCTTTCAGAAGAACCAAAGATACTTTCAGATATTTAAGATACCATATTTAGAATCCCATGTTTTTAACTTACTCTAATAAAACTCTTGATCAGAGATAATACTTTCAGTAACTTACATTTTCCATTCTGGCTGTATTCTTTCTCCCACATACTACTTCATCATGCTTCGTGGTGATGTCTTTTCCTTTTCCAATAAAACCCTTTTTTGGGGTAGGAACTGGTTTTGCTAGAGACAAGTAAGACAAGTATGTAAAAATAGCAAATACTAAACTGCTGCATTCAATACTGTCTGAAAAGATAACTGAATGTAACATAAGTTACCAAACAAGATTCAAAGATAAGTCTTCCTATGTCCCCATCCTACTCCCAGCCCCCAAAATCAAAGCAGATACCTGGTATATAGGGGTCATCACAAGTATCCTGCCAGTCAACCTCCTCTTCTGAGCTATCACTGTCTTCATAAGGATGCACTTTTCGGTAATTTTCAAAGGAAATGGAAACTGACAAGACAAAAATAGTTGCAGATGTTACAAGCACCTTGTACCACCCAATGGAGCTGTCACAATAAGGTCATAGTACCTTTGCTATCTCCATTGAATTTTTTTTCTTCGCGCCTAAGCTGTGCATCATATTCTCTGTCAAATTCCATCTGTAGCATCTGTGCCAGCATTAGGTCGCTGGAAGTGTCCATGTTTTCTCCAGTAATAAATGGTCCTTCAGCAACACTATTCAAAAGAAGGCAATACAAATTAATATAATGTGCTTGTGTAAACAGATGCTACCAATTATGAGAGTAGGATGTGACTTTTCACTGTTAAAAATTGTACTGAAAAACACTTTACCAAACCATTCAGCTTCTCCTGCCCAGCTGCCTGGGGGCAGGCCTCTGGGACAGCACCAACAAGGACTAAAAGAGCTGTGAGAGAAAGATACAGGGTCTGTAATAAAATCCGAACTGAGACCCAGAGTTCACTCATTCTGTGTTCTGATCAAAGGAGAAGTAGCATATATAGGAAAAGATAAACTAAAACATCTGATGAATGTTTTATTACTTATTAATTTTGGAGATCATCAGGTTCAACTGTTACAATAACTAAAACCCACAGAAACAGTGGTTTGCACAAGATAATACTGAAAACTAATCACAGAACCACAACTAAAACTCAAATTTCAGAGGACTCCCAGTGTGGTGTTCTTTCTACTGCCTTTCTCAATACAGTTCTTAATCATGTCATGACAATCACTGATCAAATTCTAAACCTTTGCTACAACAGGCTATACAATATAGATTCTTTGTGAATTTTACTTACGCAGCTTCAGGAAAAGCAGCAGCTTCTTCTTCTAACTGCAATTCTTTAGCCAACTGTTCACTCATTACATCAGCCAGAGAACAAGATACTGTATTTTGAGGGGTACCCCATGGACACTATTAAAAAAAAAAGTAAAGGAGCAATTCAGTTCATAATAGTGAAATTAAAGTACCTTCCAAATTTGGAAACAGGTTCTTTTAAAATTTAAACTTTTAAAATCAACCGAAAATGGATGATTACCTACTTGCAGAAATCATCTTAAAAGCAAAAATATCTCCCAGCTCAAATCTATTCAAGGATAAATGTAAGTTAAAATGGCCACAAGCACTTTCTAACCTGTTTGGTGTGCCCTTTTAGTTGAGAGGAAGCACCAGATTATAGTACCACCCCACCGGCCAATGAGTTCAAACAATGTCCCTTGTTCCAATTTAATGCTCACCAAGCAACCTTCTACTTATAATTTGGCTTCCCATGCAGATTATTTTAGGAACAGACTATACCAACCAGCACAATTCAAAGCAGTTAGAAGTCACACCTCATTCTAATTTAGGCAGTAAGCTTCTACAGGCAAAGAGTGTGTCAGCCCCTCTCAGACATCTAGGGATAACACTACAAGAGAAATAATAATGACAAATAATCCAAACTAGGCTTCTGAACTTTAGACGCTGAGAAAAGGCCATGAAACAGTATCACTACAGCACAGTAACACTGCCTCTAGGAGACTCTTCTTGGGTGGCCAGCCACTCAGCCTTCCTCAGCCCTTTTGAAGTTCAAACTGCAGGTTCATTTCACAATTCCTAATTTTTGAGGGGGCAAGCTTTACTTAGCAGAAGCAAATGATTATATTTGATAACCTAGTGATTAAGAGCTTTAATACTGAATAAGATGTCTAAATACATCCTGCACTTGCTTAGCTCTATCGCCCTTCCAAGATGTTACTCCAAGGTATCCCCCTCCCACCACAGGCTAATAGGAGAGACTCCTGGTCCTGCCTGTTTCCACCTCTACCCCACCATCACAACACAATGATTTTTCTAAAATGCAGGTTTGGGCCCGTGTCCTTACTTAAAGTTTTTTTTATTGTTTTGGTATTTCCTGCTGCCTTAAGTCCCAACGCATTCTTTAACTATTACTGAGTGTCTAGAATAAAACATATGATGTTATCAGTTTTAGTCACAAAATTGTTTAATCAAGGTTAGCCAGTATAGGCCCTCCGGCTGGCCTAAGGGCCTGTTGACATGACTCCTAGAGACAACTGGGCAGCTGACCCTTGTTCAGATTCCATAGCATTGAGGTTCTGGAAATTCACCTGGTTCAAGCTGTTGGGAGAACTTAAGGGTGATAAATAACTATACAGATTGGAGTGCTTAAGGGTGATAAATCACTATTTGTGCCTAACACTGTGTGTCAAGTTTTATTTAGTCTCACCTGAGGCTGAAGATATGCACCTGGCTGTCTATACCTACACTAGTCTATTACAGAATTATTCTGACCTTTCATAAGGCTGGAACTGGAGAAAACAAGGAGGCTTCTTCAAGGTCTGGTGTGATTTTCATTCACGCAGATCTTACGGGCAATCGAGTACTCTCCTGGTGAGGATATTGAGGTATATAAACTTTAAGCTCTCTGTAATCTAAAGAATACAGCTTGTCTTTTGGCCACATACTGACTCCCTTCTGAATCCTCTACACAGAACACAAAACGCTGCCTCAACCTAGAAACACGTCATCTGATGAGTTTCAAAGTCCAGGTTCCAAAAAACAAATGACTGTATTTGCTAACTCAGAACTGTCAATGACGTTTTGCAAAGACTAATAGTAGAATAACAGACATTGTAATATTCATTATATTTGAGTCACTTGACTAAATATACATAACTTACATAGATTATTTAAGTCACACAACTGAGAAGTTACAGTATCACCCCCACAGTAAAGATTTAGAAATTGAGACACAAGAGGGTTTTTTTTTAATCTAAGATAACACTGTAGATGGAAGTGCTGAGATTTGAACCATGGCAGGGAGACTTAAGAGGCTAGACTCAGCATTGAGCTATACTGCTACCCTAATCCCCTTGTCCTAGACTGTGAAAAGCAAACTGCCTGCTGCCTAAAATTCTTTGTCCATCATAGCAGTTTGGCATTTTATAACTAGCACCCCAGACCTCCAGGAAGGGGTCCCAAGACCCTTTCAGGGTGTCTGCAAGGTCAAAACTATTTTCCAAATAATATGAAGACATTCTGTCTTTTTCTCTCTCATTCTCTCAAGTGTATATCATGTATGATAAGTTTCCACTCTGTATCAGATATGAACATCACTCTAAAGACTACTGGAATGTGTGCTTGTATATTCTTGTGTTTTCCAAATTTTTCTAAGGTAATAAGTTTACAATATTACCTTATTCTAAGGTAATATTCTATGACCCTTTAAATGGAACAAATGATCTGTGGTAGCATGTAAAGAACAATTAAGAACCTTTTTAGGATGCATTTCTTTCATCTAAAAATGCAGATTTTTAGAGAGTAACTCAGTTAATTAACTCAGTAGAGATTAATTACTGTGCTCTTACCCATCTTCGATTATACTTGCTACAATGTACATATCTCTAAGGATGGATTTTCTTTATATACTTCAACTAAAACATCAAAACAGAGTATAAGAAAAAAGCAGATATAAGAATACAGCTGTCTCCTATGAATTCAGACATTAAAGACATTTGCAAAAATGCAAAACAATACTACTCTTCACTAATTTTTTTGTGTTGAAGTTTTATATAGAAATGCTATTTGTTACATGTTAATCATTTAATAAACATTTTTCAGTATCTGTTTTAATTTCTGATACAAATATGAAGATATAACCAATATAAACGAAAGTTCTTTGATTCTTAAAAGTGCCAAAAAGCCCTGACTTAAAAGTTTTGAGAGTTGCCAGCTTTTAGCATTCTTTCGATTTTTAAAACCTCCTTCAAATCTCCACCTCCTCAATGTAGGCTCTATAATAACTCAGTCTTCCAAGGGGTTAGAGAAGGAAAGGACTGATTCTTCGGGCATCTTTCCAATTGTTTTGCCTGTGAAAATGCTGTCTTTCCAAGAGAACATTCATAAACCCAGGAAGATTTTGTTGATGAATGATGAAAATGAAATTTTATAGTTCTGACGATGTAAACTTAAATGAAAATATGACTGATTATCAAATGCTTTATTACTGAACTAACTTGTAAGTGAAATTTTTTCTGAGGTTAGGGATTCTGAGCAAAGTTTGTCTCATTTGACATATTTACTAGCCTTTACAGATGCGTAACTGGAGGAATTTAACATGTAAAGTATGTATATGTTTATTAGTGTCTGTTTACTGGTTGTCCTCTTATGTTTACTCTTCTTGGCCTCGTCAACAAGGCCTTCATAGGAAAAAATGCGCAAGATACGTTAGAAGTAACATTTGCTAAGGTATTACCTCAGATTCTCCCTACAGTTGTATAAGAACTTTCGTACAAATAATTTCCCTTTTCCTAATAGCTAATTATTTCCCCCTTTTTTTGTTTAGATCTAGCCTGAAGAGCCAGTAAGATTGACGAGTGACCCTTTAAATGGAACAAACGATCTGTGTTAGCATGTAAAGAACAATTAAGAACCTTTTTAGGATGCATTTCATAACCTTAACTTGATGAACCCCAAATCCCAACTGAAGCACTCCCTTGCTTGGAAGCAAACCCTAAGTGTCGGAAGTCTTCTCATCCTTTTAACTTAAGTATCATGAAAAGGAGCAGCATAGAAACCAGAAGTCAAATGTGAAATAAACTGAACAGTTGGCCACTAGAGAAAAATCTTAAGACTTTGAAGCCCAGTCCGGTAATCAGAATTCACAACCATACTTCCAGGATGCAGCGTACACTGGATGGAGTATTATTAGCCTGGAGGAGGGAAGAGGAGCCTGGGTTTATCTTTTACTATTTCAAAACAAGAAATTGCCAAGGTAAGGCAACCACACTTGTCAAGGGAAAGAAACAGTGGCTTAAACAACCTTTCTGTAGGGCTTTCTGTTTATTATTGAGCTGACTCACTTGGCCCTTAAAAAAACAACATCGGGCTTGTTTTCCGTCAAACGTCAGCGTCTCTGAGCTAGTACTGCGCAAATACGTGTTACGGAGGTACAGAAACCGAGACGCAGAAAGGAAGAGACCCCAAAGGGCCCAGGGTGGCCGTGCGAAGCCCGGGTCGGCCTCCCTGCCTCTCCCACCCGCCTCCTGCCAGGCCCACCGCGCGCGGTCGCGGGGGCCCGTCCGAAACTTGCCACCTCGGCGCTTGCCACCCACTCCCGACCTTCCGAGAGGGGCGGCCCAGGCAGGTGCGTCAGTCCCGACCGCCCCTCACCTTGCTGGGTCCCCAGGGCGCGGCCGACCCGGGCTCAGGCGATGCCACTCCGACCAGATCCATGTGGGGGAAGAGGCCCGCGACAGGGAGAACGGAGCAGCGCGGCGGCAGAGCTGGGAAGCGGCTCCCGCGAGGAGTCAGGCGGCGGAGCAAAGCCGACGGGTGGCCGGAGGGGAGGTGATAGATGGCGGCGGCGGCGGCCGCCGCGTACGGAACTAGATCTCTCCTCTTCCGCCCTCCCCGCACGGACCGCCGCTTCCTGTTGGCCGCCCGCCTTCCCGTTATGTCCCCGCCCCCTTCCGGCCGCCCTTCCGGCCGCTGTCCCTTGCCCCGCGGTCTGCGGGGGACGTGGGCGGGGACGTGCGGTCACTTCTGCCCGAGGGGGGCGCGGCAGGGCCGGGTGCGGCCTCCACCGGCCGGTCTTTCCCTGTCCCCTTCCCTCCTCCCCGGCGCCGCTGGATCCCGTTAAATTCAGCTAGACACGTAGACTAGAAGTAAACAAATAGACGAGTTTCCCGAGTTAAAGGTGCACTGGTATGAGAGACAGAAAAATGGCAGGTTTAGAGAGCGGAGGGAGCCTGAAGGAGACGACCGGGTTTTGTTATTGCGGTTTGTCGTTGGCAGGCGGAGCGTGGGAAGTGGAAATCTGTAAAATGTGTTACATAACATTGAGAAAAAAAATAGGACTGCATAATAAGTTTTGATTCGGTATTTTGTAGGGAGATTTTCATTAAATGACCTGATAAAAATAAGTACTACACTTCACTTACTATATCCATGCATGTTCAAAGTTCTGTATTAACTTTCAGTCCTCAAAATAACCCTCAGAGACAAATTCTATCTCTTATCAGTGTCCCAATTTTACTGATGATGAAACCGATGCTGCCATATGAATGGCAAATCTATGGAGTGGTGTCCCCAGGTGACCTGGGCCAAGGACTGGCAGTGTATGTCTACATGCTAGTCAGACATTATTCTAAATAAGAGTTCTTAAATTGCGATTCTGAGCCAGGATCCCTGAACATCCAAGCTTGAGATTCCTGCAACACGGACGGTGATGATTTCCATTAGCACACAACCCTTGCCCCTTCCCATTTCAGGTCAGAATATGTTCTTAATCTTCCAAAAACTCCAAAATGGTAGCTATAGAATAGGATACAAACCTCTGCTGGGCAAGTGTTGCCCATAGATGTGAGTGTGTATGGAAATTGTGTTTGGGTTATGAAATTGTGCTCTTAGGGCTCAAAGGATTACCATTGCGATATAAATAGTTGAGGGAAAACGGACATAACCAAAAATTGAATGGACCTCTCAATTCTGGATAAGAAAGAAATAGGAGAGACGATCAACCAAGAGAAGTTATTGCAGTTTCCTATTAAATTAGCAAAGAGTTTCTTTAAAAAAAAAAAGGAAAAGAGCATATCAGAAAGAAAGGCTGAGATGCAGAGCATGACAAAAATGTGCCAGTGAGGCATTACGATTAGCACACATAACGGAGTTCGGGTACACGGGGAAGGCAGTATAGCACAGAGAAGACAAGTAGTGACTAGCATCTTACTATGCTGATGGACAGTGACTGTAATGGGGTATGTGGTGGGGACTTGATAATGGGGGGAATCTAGTAACCACAATGTTGCTCATGTGACTGTATATTAATGATACCAAAAAAAAAAGATCAAGTTGGAAAAAAAAAATAAAACAGGGTAAAAAACAAAACACAAAACAAAACAAAAATGTGCCAGTGAGGGGCCATTTGGGGAACTGATTAGGAAAGGAAAGGAAGCTGAAAGTAAAACTAAGAATCTGGACATTCATTTCAGATCATTTATTCAATAAGTTTTTATTGAGTTTTCTTAAGTGACCAGCACTGGAGTGACAGATATGAATAAAAATAAGTGCCTGCCGCCAGGGACCTTGAAGTCATAAACACAAGTACAACTGAGTTTTAAGATGGCACAATAGAAGCATGTGCAGGGCACAGTGGTGACATGAAGGATAGAAGGCGGACCTACTCAGATATTCAGGAATGGTCCCTTGGAGATGATGACACTGAGCTCAGTCTTGCATGATGAACAGCCAGCAGTGACATAAGCTGTAGGGCAAGTGGGGGCTTCCACACAGGGGAAACAAGCATTGGAAAAGAGCAGGTGGTCTGTCATGGCCAGACTTTAGAGTTCAACAGGGACAAAGTAAAAGATTGGATTGGAGAATGCAGGGAAGGCAGGTCCAAGAGATTTTAATGCTAAGGACTTCAGAGTTAGGACAATAAAGTCGCTAAAAGATTTTAAATGGGGAGAATAATGTTTTTAGATATGCTTACTAGAAAGATGATTCTGACAGCTGTGTGAAGGATAGATTGGAGAGAGGTAAGGCTGGAGATGGGAAAATTGCTAGGGGATTGATGATGAAGGTTGTGTGGTCTTCCATCAGCACATTCTTTGAATAATACTTTCAGTCTAACTTCCAGTTTCAGAAACTTTTTAAAAAATTTCTACAAGGTAACTTTGTATATTCCAGCTGTAATCTTATTTCTCTTATTTCCAAGATTTTGTTTTTGGGCTTTGGTGCCTGATGTTGGCAGTACCAGGTTTGGGTAGGGAAGATAAGGAGATAGGGCATCTCAGTGGAGGTCAAGAAGCTGAGATAACTTTTGCTTTTTCAATTGTTTGATGGAATGGATGTTGGTGTCTGAAGATCTGGTTTGGAGACAAGATGATGTTAATTTTGGATATGTGAAATTTAAGTTGCCTATGAAACATAGCAGCTATCTGTAAATTCGTAAATACACAATTACTTGTCTATTTTCTTTTTCTCCATGAGAGCAAAGATGATGTTTGTTTGGTTTGCTGCTGTAATCAATGCCTAGCATGGTGCCTAACATATAATAGGCACTCAATAAATATCTGGATGAATGAACTGAATGGCTGTGGTTGAAAATGGCCAAAAGGCCACCTTCAACTAGGGGCTGAAAATAGAAATTTGATTATCACCAAAATAGCTACCATTTATTGAATGCTTACTATGTGTTGAGCTAACACTTCAAATGTATTAGCTCATTCAGTTCTTAAAACAATTCTGAGGGATATTGTTATCCCCATGGAAACTGAAATTTGGAAAGCCCAAAGTCACATATAATGAATTATGTGTTTTATACCAGCTATGGAAGAAAATGAAAAAGGAGATTACTTTTAGGGACAATATAAGGAGTTAAGGGACAAGAGATTTTGGAGTAAAGAAACTCAGTGGGAGAAATGGCATAATGGAGCTAAAGAATTAAGAGGTAGCAAGCCAGATGACAAGTGTTGGTGAAGCTGTGGAGCACCCTCGTACATGGCCAGTGGAAATGCAAAAGGGTGTCACCACCACAGAAACAGCCTGACAGTACATCAAAAAGTTAAACACAGAATTACCATATGATCCAGCAATTCCACTCCTTACAATATACATACCCAAGAGAATTGAAACAGGTACTCAACCAAATGCCTGTACCTAAATGTTGACAGAACCCTATTCACAGTAGACTAAAGGCAGAAACAACCCACATGCTCATCAGTGGACAAATGAATAAACACAAGGTGGTATATCCATATAATAGAACATTACTCAGCCATAAAAAGCAATTGTTATGAGTGGATTTGTGTCCCCGCAAGTTCATATATTGAAGTCTCAACTCCTAGCCCTCAAAATGTAGGGATCCACATGGTAGGGGGTCTACCTCCATGCTTTTATATATGGATATCTAGTTGTCCCAGCACCATTTGTTGAAAAGTGATATTCTTTGCTCATTGATTGGGTCAAAGATCATGTGAAGGTTTACTGCTGGATCTCAGTCCTACCCTATTCCATTGATCTATGTTTGTATCCTTATTTCATAACCATCCTATCTTAACTACTGTAGTTTTGTAGTAATCTTTGAAATCAGGACCAAGTCCTCTAATGTTGTTCTTTTCAAGATTGTTTTGGCTCTCATGGGTCTCCTGAATTTCCATATAAATTTAGAATCAGCTTTTTAATTTCTCCAGAGGAATCAGCTGGAATTTTGATGGGGTTTTGTGTTGAATTGGTAGATAAAAATTGAAGAATATTACCATCTTAACAATATTAAGTCTTAGGATCTCTGAGCCTGGAATGTCTTTCCATTTGTTTCAGGTTTTTCCAGTGTCCTTCAATAGTGTTTTGTGTTTTTCAGAGTATAAATTTTGCACCTATTTAGTTAAATTTATTCTTAAGTATTTTATTCTTTTTGATGCTATTTTAAATGGAATTGCTTCTTTAATTTCATTTTCAGATCGTTCATTCCAAGTGTATAGAAATACGGTTGATTTTTGTGTACTGATGTTGTATCTTGCATCCTTGATGAACTCATGTATTCTAATGGTTATTTCTTTAGTGGATTATTTAAGATGGTCTATATTTAAAATCTTGTTATCTGTGAAAGAAGTAGTTTTACTTCTTTTGCAATAGATCTTGGCTTTTATTTTCTTGCCTTTTGTCCTGGCTAGAACCTCCAAAAGAATGTTAAATAGAAGTGGCAAGAATTGTCATCCTTTTCTTGTTCCTGAACTCAGAGAGGAAAACATTATCTTTCATCAGTAAGTATGATTCTAACTATGGGATTTTCATAGAGGCCTTTAATCATGTTGAGGAAGTTCCTTTGTATTCCTAGTTTTTAATATTTTGTCATGGAGGAGTATTGAATTTTATCAAATACCTGATACCTTTCTTTGAGGTGATCACATGGCTTTTGTCCTTTATTGATATGGTGATTTTTGGATATTAAGCCAACCTTGGATTTCTGGGATAAATCACACTTGGTCTTGGTGTGTACTCCTCTTTCATGTTGGATTCCATTTCCCAGTGTTTTGTTGAGGATTTTTTTCATCTACATTCATAAGAGATATTGATATTCTGTTCTGAAGGGGGTCTTAGGGGATTTCAAGTATGCTATTGCTTCTGTCAACTTTTGGGACTTCTCCATGTGCACTGTCAAAAATATTCAGTAATGAAGAAGATTTGTTGGGGGAACCCCACAAAGTATTGTTTCATCCAAGCTCCCTTCTTTTTTTGTTTAACAAACATTGAGCACTTATAGGTCCATTATAAAAAAATAGATTGATAATTATGACCCTTTGGTCTCAAAGATCTCAGTTAACAAGGCAAGTAGTTAAATCTTTTTTTTGTGTATAGGAGAGCTATCTCAATCTCATATATAGATGCTTATCAATGTAAGACCTGGTAATTTTATTTCTTTTCTGTCTTAGTTTAGTTTGTTTTATGGAACAGAATAATGCAGCTTTGGAAAAATCAGTAGCATTGGTAAGATCTATCAGCACTTTCACTACAAATGTCAGCTTCTATTTAAATGCATGGTTGCTCCTGCTTGTTCATAAGCAAATTCTTTTGAAGAAAATAAGTTATAACTATGATATAATAGGGCCTGAATTGAAGTTGCTCATCTACCAAAAGAGCCCAGAAAAATCTCAGGTAAATGCCAACCATTGTTTCAGCAAATTCTGTTGGGCAAAAAATTTTTCCTAAGGGCTATTTAGCTCTGAAATAGATTTCCTAAAATAATGCCAAGAGAAAATTACTTTTTAGTTTATTTATCTTTTATGTAGAGACAATACATCCAGTGTTTGCTTGGATAATATAGTTTGATAGGCAATTTTACACAAGAAATTAAGAAGAGTGAAGGTTTCCTGGTGTGTGGGCTATTTCTAAAAATCTGTTTCCATATGTGGGGAACCCTTGCACTTCCGTTCCTAACAAAGTCCATCAAGATGGCTATGTTTACTGCTATTTGTCAAAAGCCCAACTAGGTCATTTTTCCACCCTGGAGACTAGGAATAGGACTGTGCTTGTAACTACATTTGGAAAGATTTATTTTATGGAAATTTCAACACAATGCAATGACTTCTCAGAGAAAAAAGAAGAAACTGTACTCACTCCTGTTCCTTCCCCCTCAGTTTTCCTTCTTTTAAAGTAACATTTATCATAAATAACTTTTTGGTGTCGTTAGCAAAAATAATACAAACTCAATGTAGAAAATTCAGAAAATTCAGTAAGAAACATTTTGGTGCCACCATTTAGAGATCTCTATGTATATGTTTCTTTAAATGGCAATAAGGTGTTGTAAACTGTTCTGTAAACTTATTTCCTCTTCCACCGCTTTCTATTTTTCTGCAACGACTGCCAACACCCCTTCTGCACAGGCGGTCGCAGACCCAGTCAACCTTCTTACTTCCCTGCTGGCTTTGGCCAGCTGGGTGCCTCCCAGCCTACAGAGAGCCTGCAGGGCCCGAGAAGGCGCGGCCCCTTTAAGAGGCTGGCCTTGGGCGGCCCCCACGCTGATTGGCGGAGCTCAGAGCCACGTGACTTTCGGCAGCGGCCGCGGAGGTCTGGCTCCCGCTGCGGTGCTGGAGCTCCCGGGGGATCCCTGGGAACCCCCGCCGGTTGACACATGTGCGTGAGGACATACCTGGTGGGCTTCACCTTTTGTACCTGTTACCTGGCTTCATACCTCACAAACAAGGTGAGGGGGGGCGGGCGCTGTGATTGCTGGCTATGATTGCACATCGGAAATCTGAGCTCCCAAATCTTACGTGGAACAAATGTAGCCTCCTGCATTTTATCCAATTTCCCACCTTGGTGATGGGTAAGCTAACTCTGCGTGGGATGCGCTTTTAGAAATAGGAAGTTCCCTTGTTGGACTGTACTGTCCCTGTTTCCTGTCCTGTAAAGCATCTTTTATATCTCCTGGGGAACCAGATTTTCATTGGTGGATTACCAGGAGCTTAATTTTGGGTTGTGTGGGCTACTTTTAAGGGAAAGAAAGCAACTGAACTCTGTTCCATTGGAGAAGGAAGACTAAGAGAAGAAATCAGACATATTCTGCCTTCTTTTCTAAAATAAGGCCCTGCCCCACAACCCCACAAGGTGCCAGAAGCCTTTAAATAATAGAGATCAATCTAGCTCCAGCCCCATCTCCCCTCACACTACTGAGTCCCAAGCCTAATTTTTGTGTCTCCATCGCAGGCATTTCCAGTATATTCAGTTGTTTTTCCATGGAGTTATTTTTTTTTAATAAAATACAAATTTTTTAAAAAGTGATGTCATGAAATCATTTTTATGAAGAGTCAGAAAAGCAGTGGCCGTGCTTTTGTTTTGTTAGGAGGAGGAAGCTGACCTTGGATTTGGTACAGTGGGCTGGACACGAAGCCGAAGTGGTGATGCAAGGTCCAGGTACCTTCTCCCACTATAGGGCCTTTACTACCTGCCCCCCATTCCCTCAAAAAACAAAAAACAAACAAACAAAAAAACCTCTCTTATTCTCTGGAAAAGAACTCTTAACCAATAACATTTCCTTATACCTTTTCTCCTAATGTGAGTGGCTGTTGTTGTATATTAAGAGGATGCTCTGGAACCCCGCTTCCCTGTTTAGTTGATTTTTAGTTATGCTGATGGATCTTTGAAGATCCATTAATACCTCCTTACTGGGGGGCAGTGATGGGTTTGCAGCCTGGCTCCACTTACATGACCTTTGGATCTCTAACCCTAAGTTTTTAAACTTTAAGATGGAATTAAAAAGTCCTATTTAAAGGGTTATTGTGAGGATTAATAGAAATAACGTCTGTAAAGTGGTTGGCCGCGGGTCCCACATCATGATAAATGCTCCATAAGGTAGGTGGAGGTTACTGCAGAAGAAGGAAGAGAGGAAGGAAAGACAGTCTTTTGCTTATAGTATGACACAGTAATTATTAGCTTTTAACAGATTTGTGTCTTCCTCTTGGGACAGGTAGCTAAACTAAAAGATTTTTTTTGTAGCATCTTCTCAAGGGTATGTAAATTTTTGAAATCCTCTCCTTTTCATTTAACTACTCTATAATTTGTCTAGCTAATCTGATAGGTATATTGATAAAGTTTCACTTAAAAACAGAATGACCTTCCTTTTATTTTTATATACTTTTAAGAAGGGGTAGAGTGATATGTCTTTCATGAAAACCCACAAACAATGGCACTGGTTTAAAAAAAAAGTGTATCTAAGCAAAAAATTGTGTCTGTCCAGTAGGCAGGTAGCATTTAGTTTGCAGAGATTTATACCTCCTTTGAATGGATATTTGCATCAGTAGAATTATTTTTGTAGCTTTGGAGGCACCTCCCCATTTTATAATCAATGTAATAAAAACTGGGTGCTTTCCATGTGCATCATGCCCCAAGGTACTAGATAAAAATAAACCAAATTGTCATGTCCCCAGGAATATTTAATCTGAATAATAGAGATCATAGATTCCTAAGGACCCTCAGAATTTAAACAACATGCCAATGGCATCCTTCTCCTTTTTTTCACGATGGTTTGGAGTCTTTTGAGAGATATCTGAGTAGATGGAGAGTAGAGGAAGGAAGAAGGCAGAGAGAAGGGGAGGCAAGGAGATTTTATCAAGGTGAAAGAGGAGGTGGAGTCAAGAGTGGTGGAGAGTGGATGCGAGGTAGGGGTGGGACTGCTAGTCATTCATAATGGGGCTCTGTAGGGACTTTGTAACTCTTAGATTGCACCATTGTTTCAACCAAGAGCATCTTCTCAAGCCAGCATGGTCATGCTTACTTCTGACAACCTTGGTAGATTGACTTGGACCAGGTAGAGGCCAAGTGGAAAAGGAGCTGCCCAGGGGCTCCCCATCATCAGCATATTCACCTGTGCACGTCTCTGCCAAATGAATTTTCTTTCGAATTAGAGAAATTTTTTGTGTCTATAGCAGAGGATCCTCTCTTCCAATTTTTAGAAGACTCTGTGCTAGTTTCTTTATTTTCATATTTCTCAGTGTAGTTTTCTCAAATTCTCTCCCTATTGGTAGAAAGAAAATTCATTAAAAAAAATCTTGTATATTCTTAGTCTCACCCCTTCTACTGTTTAAAATTTGTCTGACCAGCAAGTGTTCTGGTTTTCCTGGCCCTGCTGGCCAGCCTTGTGGCGTGGTCCACCATCTGTGGCAGGTTCAGCAGTAACCAGGCCCAGGGCCATGGCAACCCCCAGCACTTCTTCCCCTCATAGCTACTAAGCCTTCAGTCTGGAGACAAAGCCCATGTCTGTTCTCTTTTCAAGAACTCCCAGATTGCTTTCTTTTACCTTGAGAAGCACTCACTTCTCTTTCACCAGCTAACATTTTGCTCTGAGCCACACTTTTCAGTGACATGAGGAATTGCTGAAAGCTGAAATGGTTAGGACTTATATTCCATTTGTCAGAAATTTCTTTTCTCACTGTTGTTTCCCTATTTAACAAGGCAGGTAAGAGCATCAGCATTTTCTATCTCCATTAGTATCTAGGACAAAGCTCAGCACACAATAAACTAAATAAATATTTATCTTCATGAAGGTTGTTAAGGGCGTTGCAGGGCATGGCCCAGATGCTCACTTCATCCTTTATGTCTGTTTTAGAATGAAAATATCAGGGGAAAGTTGGGAAGAACATACTGAAATATGTGAGTAAATAAGCTGCAGAAATGAATGAAGGTCCATTTCTAATAACTAAGCACCAGAGCACAGGCAGTTAGCTGCAACTGTGGGAGTTACAAGCTTGTAACAGGGAAGTTACACATAGGTTAATCCATGGAAAAAATAGATATGTTACCCTTGCCCAACACTAGTCTACTCTCTTTTTTTAAATCACATAAAGAATCAGTAGAGTCCTTGCCGAAATTTATATAATGGTTTTAGACTTTTCAAAATTTCTAAGTGTTCAATAGTAGAAAAAATAGATAAAGATACCCAGAAGGACAAAACACAATTCCCCTATTCATGAAGTGCTGTAAATTCGATTAAAAGACATATTAGAAACACAAGCTGGCCTTAGCTGAATTGGTTAAAAAAAATACAAAAACCTTAAAGTATTAAATCACAGTGAAAACTATGACACTGAAGCAGAATTAGTTAGAAAAAAGATTCTTAGAATGTAAAAATCAAAATCCTAAAAATGGAGGAAAAACAAAGGACAGACAGACTAGGATGCAGTCTTGAAGAGTAACAGAGAAAGGTGGACATTTAAGTAAACAGAACAGTAGGGAGAATGGATACCCAGGAAAACAGTCTGCATCCAGGGGTTTGTATGGTTTTCTCAAGTTGCTGCAGTTGCTGCATGATCCATCTGGAATCAGGGAAGATGCTGAGTGGCTGGGCATCCCCCAAATCAGAGTCAGCTGCTGTGTGTCTTAATTTGCTCAGACACTGGTTCCGTTTCCATGAGTGCTCGGCTTCCACTCTCTTTAGTATAACTTGGAAGGTCATTTTTTTTTTTTACCCAGGGAAGTTTATGACTTTTTGAAATTTGAGAATACTTGTGTTTCTTCCACGCAATGTCTTTGATTATTTGGTCTCTCTATTCTCTATCATTTGAAAATGTCCATTAATTTGGTGTTTGTTTTTCAGTATGTCCTCTCTGTCTTGAAATTTACCTACCCAACATTATTCCAAGGGTGAGTATTTTTTATGTTCTTTATTCACATTTGTAGGAAATGTCCAACCAGGATCATTATTCTTTTTTTTCTTTTGGTATCATTAATCTACAATTACATGAAGAACATTATGTTTACTAGGCTCCCCTCTTCATTATGTTTACTAGGCTCCCCCCCACATACCCCTTCAGAGTCACCGTCCATCTGCATAGTAAGATGCTGTAAAATCACTACTTGTCTTCTCTGTGTTGCACAGCCCTCCCCGTGCCCTCAACGCACTATACATGCTAATCGTAATGCCCTCTTTAAATATTCTTTAAAATATTTTTAACAGCTGATGGGTCTTTTTTTTGTCAAATAGATATACTGTAATTTGTTTAGTTGTTTTATTAATGGGCATTAAAATTATGTCCCATGTTGAGTGTATGAAAGCAGTGTTTTTGGACATTTTATATTCAAATCTGCCAAATTTCGAACTGTTTCTTTGGAAATTTCCTAAATAAGAACTTTGAGTTACAGAATATGAACTTCTTTAGTATTTTTTTGAATATTAAATTCTTTCCCAGAAATGTTTTATCAATTCACAGTTGCCCAGCCTGTATATGAAAGTTTCTATAGTATGGTACTTGAACCATGGCTATTTTTTTCCTCTCTCTGCTGATTTTCTGTGAGCTGAAAATGGTTATCACATTTTTATCACATGTCTTTTCATTTCTTAGATTATTCATGAAGTTGGACAGTTTTCTTATGTTTATTATCCATTTGTATCTATTCATTGAGTTGTCTCTTTGTGCCTTTTACCCTTTTATTTATACTAGGTTTTAGTATTTTTCTTATTAATTTAATGAATTCTTCATATTTTAATGATGTCAACCACTTGTCCATCATGTTTATTGGAATTGTTTTTTTTCTTTTGCAGTTCTTTGCTTTTTCATTTTGTTTATAATTATTTTGATTATTTAAAAATTTTTAAGTGACATCATAGAGAATTTATTGTGTAAACTTCTGAATAAAGCAACAGAGAGAACCACAGGTGAATCCAGTGTGTGGTCTTGTGACTGAGGGATGCCTCATTATTAGAAAGAAAACAGAGGGAAAAAGTGGTTCAGAGTCAGAACAATAGTCTAGATATTTTAGAAATAGCATGGAGGAAACTCAATGTTTCCCTTTTTCACCTGCCCCCCAGCTTAAAATAAATTTTTATTTTTATGTGGACAAATATATTGTTTCTTTTGTGACTGATATCATTACTTTTATGTTTATTTTTCTTTATCATAAGATCATATAGATATTCACCTATATTTCATTAAAGCTTTATTCAATTCTTAATCATTGCCTGTTTATTTTAGTGTTTGGTGGAATGTGAAGAAATCACTCTTTTCCTAAGAGTTTCATTTAAATTAGCCCATTTATGATTTTTTATTGTATAATCCTTCCTTTGCCTTTGGGTTGTTAATATCATATAAAACATTTTTCTAGGATCTATGTTTGAGTATTTATTGGTTAATTTTTACAGAAAGGGGCTAGTGCTAAATTATTTTAATTATTATGTGGTAGAGCATCTCATCCCTAATTTTTTTCCTTTTTATATTTGATATTACACAAAAAAAACCAAAAAGGCAAGAGTCATGATCTTAATGTCAAAGTAGGTTGAATTCAGGACAAATACATTGAACAAATAAGGTAAGGTGTTATAATACTGGAGTATGCAGTTCAAAATGAAAATTAAATAGTGATGAATATCTACCAACCAGTCAATCAGGCATCCTATTTGTTAAACAAAAACTGCAGGAATACCAGGGATTAATAGAAATGTAACTTTTAATAGAAGACAAATTTATTATTTTTCAATGATGGTTCAGTTGGGAAAAAAAACTAATATATCTGTATATATACAGATATGTGTGTGTATATAATATATATATATATATACAAGTACTAAGTAATACAATTAATAAATACCAAACACTCTATCTTGAAAGTAGACATTATACCTTCTTCTCAAATGCTCATGGAATATTTGCCAGGAATAAAATGGCAGTTATTTCCAAAAAGTAGCAATTATACAATCCCAGTGCATCAAAAATAGAAAGTTCCAACCTACAAATGGCTCTTGAACATATTAAAAGATAGTCTTCACTCCTAAGAAAAATATAATTGAAAACTATATTGAGAAATCATATTTTACCTGTAAGATGTACAAAATAAACCTTCAAAATTTGGTAACACAGCATTGGTGAGGATGTAGAAAATAGGTGCTCTCATACACTGATCAATGGGTCGAAGGTCGTACAAGTAGGCCTGAGCGGCACTTTGGCAGTATGTAATAGTATTGCAATGGTTTGAATCCTTTAATCCCGCAATCCCACTTACAGGAATTTACCTGAGAAGTTTACTTGCACTAATGTAAAGGAAATATGTACAAAGATATACATGTAAAACATTTGTGACAGCCAGCACTTTTACATAACCCAATTTTCATTTATATAGAGAAGTTATATCCCTAATGAAATACTATTCAAACGTTAAAAAATAATAAGGAAACTCATGTACTTGACATGCAAAGGTCTTCAAGATGCATTTAGTGGAGAACAAAAGCAAGTCCATAACAGTGCAGTCCAACACCATCTTATAGAAATATATATATGTTTTCCTTATTTAAAAAAAGGTAGAGAAGAATTTTCACCAGGACCTCCTAAACATCTTTAGAATTGTCCACCTTCTTCATCTGAATTGCTCCTTCCCGAGCTGCGGTCATCTCTCCGATCACTGTTGACATTTTAGCTGGGTAATTCTTTTTGGGGGCTGTCCTGCTCATTGTAGGGTGTTCGCAGCATCCTTGGCCTCTACTCACCAGATGCAAGTAGCAACCCTCCCCTCCCCACTCTGAGGTATGACAACCAAACATGTCTCCAGATTCTGCCAAGGGTTCCCTGGGGGTAGACCATATCATTGAGTGCCACTCCTTGAGACCCAACAATTGGAGGGCACGGCCCGTATCTGCTCTGCTTAGCCAGGTCAGTGCAGGTTTCATAAAGGATACATAAAATTGGATCTTATAGGATGGGTGGGTGTTGTCTAACATACAAAGAGATGAGAAGAACATTATGGGTCGCGGTGACAGCATGTGCAAAATCTTAGAAGTATGACATGGCCTGGCACGTCCCAGAGGCTGTGAGCCGCTTGGTAGGGCTGGACTGTGGCTGCCAACCACAGCAGACGGACAGGAGCTGACCCTGGAGAGGGGTGGGTACAAGTCCTGGGAGGCTTGTGTGTCACACACACACACACAAGTGACTTTGTCCTGTAGGCCAGGGTTTCTCAACTGTTGTGTTGCAATACATGGGTGTGTTGAAATTGGTTCTGAAGTGAAGTGTCTCAAGTCATAACTAAAAATAAGGTTTGAAATTTATGAATGATTCACCTAAAATAAAAAAGCAATTAGGGCACAACAGGATAAAGTTATGCCCAGAGTATCCCTGTCACCCATCTGGCATCTTGCTGTGCTTCTGCAGGGGACAGGGTGGGGTGTTTACTTTCTCACCTGTGCCTGGATGCTGCATGCTGACAGTGTCTCCCGTGAGCTTTGTGCCGTGTATGTACAGCAGAAAAAAGGCTGAGCTACTGCCTGCGGCACTGGGAAGAATCAACCGTTTTTAAAGCAAGGCAGTGACACAATTAAGTTTGCATTTTAGAACAAACTCTTTGCTGCATGGTAGAGAATGGATGGTGGTGGACAACTCGGGAGGGGGGACAGCAAGGGGACTAGTGCTGTGGTTCAGGTGTTCCAGGGTGAGAGTCTGGATTAGGCAGAGAAAGAGGGGTGGAGATGTGAAGACTTTGGATTTGAGAGCTGCTATGGAGACAAATTCAATAGGATCTTGTGATTAGATGAGGCAGGTGACTGTGGAGAAGGGCTAGGATGACATTTCGGTATCTGACTTGGCTGAGCAGGACAGTAGGATGACCAAGATGGGGAGGGAGAAGTTCAAGGTAACGTCCTAGGCATGTCATCACTGGGAGCTCGTGTGTATCCTGATAAGATCATGGATTTGGAATCATCAGTGCATGGACAGTGGGAGAAACAGTGACTTGGGTGAGATTGTTCAGGAAAAGTCTTGATTAAAAAGAGAAGAATATCAATGTCAGCATTGAATGGTACGGCTGGACTCGGGAATAGTAGAGGTTGAGAAGGAAGGGTCTGAGAGGGGGATGATAATGAGGAGAACAGGAGCTCTGTTAAATTTACGTGGGCCCTTTTCCTTTTCAGGTGGCAGACATTAATTGGTGGCCTTTTGCTTCATGTGTCGTGGAAACTGGGCTGGACAGAGATCAACAGCAGCTCAAGGTAGAACAGCTTCTTCCCTGCTTGATTCCATGATTCATAGCCTGCTTCCTTTTCACATAATTTAATTTCTTACGGTGTGACACTGGGAACACAGATGTTTATTTGAGTTGTTTGATCTCTTAACCTTGAGAGTCAATGCTTTTATACTGAATAGAACTCAAGTAGTGTTTTCCTGTTTAGTAATGTCACTAACATAGTATTGAAATTAATTGAGATATACAATTTATAAAACTATATTACTCTGGCATTGTTTAGAGCATAGGACCGCCATGAATGGTTATTAAATGAGCTTAAAGGTTTTTTTGTAAATTTTTCATTTTGAAATTATTTACTACTTACAGAAGAGTTAGAAATAGTACAAAGAACTTTCATACCCTTTACTTATATTCCCCAATTACTATTTATAAGTAATAGTAACAATTATTATTTACTTCACTTCTCATATCATTTACTCTTGATACATGGCTATATATATACTTTTTTTCTGAACAGTGTGAGTGTAAGATGCCTCTTTTCTTTAATTCTGAAATCTTCAGTGGGTATTTCCTATCAGCGAGGGCATTCTCTTACATGACTACAGTATAGTAATCAAAATCAGGAAATTAACACTGATACAATACTATATTATCTCGTCTACTCACTGTATTCATATTTTGCCAGTTTTCTCAATGATATTCTTTATAACCCTCCCCAGGGTCCAATTCAGACCACACGATACATTAAGTGTTAAGATTCTATTAATATAGCTTTTCAAATAGGTTTAAAAGGAATCTCAAAGACCAGGACAGTTTTCAGCCAAAATTATCATCTGAATGGGCCATTCACTCCCGCCTCTCACCTAGATGAATCCTCATGATCCTTTGAGACCATCATGCCTTTCCTGAAATGATGCCCAAAATGAAATGAAAATGAAGTCAAGATTTATGTGAATGAGGTAAACATCCCAAATAAATGATCAGGTCACATTTTCTGCAGTTTCTTTGTTAGATTAGCTGCTTAATTGCCAAGTCACCCCTTTGCTTAGCATTCCAAAGAAGGCTTGAGATTGTGTCCAGTATAAACATGAACAATTTTGGCTTCTCCTGAAAATACAAAACTGGACAGCAAAAAAATAGTATTAAGAGGTTTTATGAAGGAGACACCCTGGGAATATAGATTGGATTAATTTTCCTGACCTGATTACAGTATATATTCTGAAAGAATATTCCACACAAGATGTTTAGTCCGAAAGACTAGTACATCAAGTCATGATTTTGTACTTTTCATGGCATAACATCCCTCAACTTGAAAAAATAAAGATACTTTTGGGATTTTATATGTGATATGAAGCAAAGGTCTTACTTTATACTCAATTGTTATGGTGGATAGTTCAGTGAGAACTAGGACTTCATTTAAACAAATATGAGTCCTGAACTCAGTAGACCTGTATTTAGTTAAGTAATGAAGCATCCTGATGCAAAATGATTCAACTTATTCATCTACAGAAGCAAGAGATTGGACTGGAGTGAGAGAACTGGACTGTCAGATTTGGGGCTGAGGTCTGTCGGTGCTGATCAGCAGGGGTCTTCCACTCTGTGTAATTATATATGCATATACAATATCATAGCATATATAACATGTAATATATGACTATATAATTACCTTATAATCTCTGACATGAATTATTTACTTAATAGTAGTCTTTAAAACATCATCTTAGTCATGTTGCCTTACAAGCTATGCCATTTGTTCATACTTAAAAAAAAAATGCTGTGGCAATATACACATAACAAAGTTTACCATTTTTAAACAATTTTTAAGTGTACAATTCAGTGGCATTAAGTACATGCACATTGTTATGCAACCATCACCACCATCCGTTTCCAGAACTTTTCCATCATTCCAAACAAATTCTGTTCCTATTATATAATAACTTCCCATTCTCCCTTCCCCCTAGCCTGTGGTAACCACTGTTCTACTTTCAATCTCTATGAATTTGACTACTCTAGGTGCCTGATTTAAGGGGAATCATACAGTACTTGTCCTTTTGTGACTGGTTTATTTCACCTAGCATAATGTCTTCAAGGTTCATCCATGTTGTACCATGTGTCAGAATTTCATTCTTCTTTAAGGCTGAGTAATTGAATAATATTCACTGTACGCACACCACATTTTTTATTACCTTTGGGCATGGGGAATGACTGGTAGAACTAGTAGAAAAGGTTCTCAGGATTCTGTCCCTAGAAGAAGTCATCCTCTGACAGGAGATGTTTGAGACACTTGTCCCTTGAACCCACATGATGCTAGTTCTCAGAAGATTCATGATCAAATTCCCTTTGGGTCCTCTTGCTAAACTTTTCAAGACCTCTTCACCTCTATTTCTGGGACTTCCTTAGATAGTTTCAAAATTCACATACACCACTTCAGCTCAGTGAAGCTTCTTGCCAAAGATCCTAGTGTCTTAGTTTGTAGTGGATCGTGTGGTTCATAACTGCTGGTACAGCTCAAGACTTCCAGTTGCCACAGGCCCTTGGTGAAAGGGAGTTTCCAGAAGGCTTGCAGCAGGAACCCAGCCCCAGTTCCTGTGGGTGTACCTGGCTTGGGCTTGTGTTTGCCACGCTGCTGTGTCCTCCTGGGTGTGCCTCTCTGACTATGTCATCAGCAAACCCCAGCCTGATTTGCTGTGACTGTAGACTCCTGCAGAGAGAGCAGTGGTTGGGCCCTGCTGAAAACAGAAAACAGTAGGAAGATGATTTGGAGCCCCTAAAGTCATCCTGGAGTGGGGATTATAAGGGTGCAGCTGGAGGGTGGGTCCCAAATTGGTACCAAATAGCATATAGCACAGAGAGCTATTCAGACTCTTCTTACAGCTTGGAGCACAGCTGAATCCCAGATTCCCTCTCAGACAAAGTGCAGAACCTGGCACCGCATGATGAAATCATTCTGCCCTGAGGATGTTTGCCCGGGCAGCCGGTCATTATCACCAAGTGTTGGATGACACCCTGGAAGCCTTCTGTCCTGGGGAGAGAGCGCTAGCTTCCAATCACAGGCTTGTCACGCTATGGCAGCTGCTGCTTTGCCAAGCCTCTGCAGAACGCTGAAGTGATTTTTCCAGCAGATGTTCAAATCCTGTGCTGAATGCTTTCTGTAGTACTAAGGTGTGATCCTAAAAGAACATAGGAACCCTGTTCATCTGACCAGACACCTGGTAGCACAGTGAGACCCCGGCACTTTGTATTAGATTTTCTAACTAGGACAGACGCAGGTGTGATTTTGCTGTAGACTTCAAACACCAGCTTCAGGTTCCTGTGTTGCCAGCCTACATGTTCAAATAAAAACACAGTGAAAGTAATTTTTAACCGGCTTGCCACTTTTTGTCCACTATACATAAGAGAGCATACTTTCAACTCTTGAGACTTTAAGTATGACAAATTCTAAGTTAAAAATTCTATGCCACAATACGTCAGTGACCAGAGATTTCTAACAGGTGAAGGAAAAGTCCCAGCCCTCAATTTTCCATTAAAAGTCTTTGCTGGAGAACCATAAAAAAAAAAAAAATCTGATAAAACCTTCAAATTAACTGAACCCTATCCCTAAAGAAATGAACAGTAAGCCAATAAATCAGGGTCCTGATATATTTCTTTTCAATGATTGATTATTTATTTGTTTTTAAGTGAGGTAGCTCATCTTCATGATAGCTACTGGTCACTGGAATTACCCCAATATGTTTTAATGTGCTGACATTTCATTTTGAGTGACTCTTGTAGTTTTATAAAAAGTTACCTTTGCTCACAGAGGAAAGTTAGCACTTAAGTTCATGTGTTTTTGGTATTTTTTGCTGTTGTTTTCTCTCCAGAGGAATACATTACTTATATGTGTAAAAATTACTTTTGGGGGAAAGTAAAAACAACTTTCAAAGCTTCCTCAGGAAACATTGAGAGCCACTGAAGAGACATAATAGTGAATAAACCTGAGTGGCTTTTATATGGTGATTATGCTAGTTTCTGGGACATGAGTCCACAGGGCCAGGGATAGTAAAAGGGACAGGATTTTTTTTCACCAGCTTTATTGAGATATAATTGTCAAATAAAAGTGTAAGATAATTAAAGTGTACATAGTGGTGATTTGACATACATATACTATACGAATGAGTCCCATCATCTAGTCAACTAACATATTCATCACCTCATATATTTATCTTTTTTGTGTGTATGAGAATATTTAAATTCTACTCTTAGCAAAATTTCAATTATACGACACAGTTACCAAGTTTAGTCACCATGTTATCTATTAGAGTCTCAGACCTTATTCATTTTACAGCTGAAAGGTTGTCCCCTCTTACCCATCTCTCCCTATTCCCCAACCACTGGGCCCTGGCAACCATTTCTCTACTCTCTGTTTCTATGAGTTTGACTTTTTTAAAAGATTCCACATACAATTCCAAATTCCATGCAGCATTTGGCTTTCCTTGGACAGGATTTTTTAATCTTCTGTTTATTAGTGGCCCCAGGTTATGCCTGTACACCTAGTATATAGGAATCTACTGAACTCACACTTTAAATTGTAGCCGAATCTCACATCACTGTCACTGTGTGTCCATACAACCCCTTTCTGGCCTCTTCACAGGGCTAATCAACAGTATGAAATGTAACCCCGCCACCCCCGACCCCAACCTGAAATCAGAGATGTTGTTGTGTCTTGCATGTCAGCCTGAGATTTGCAGTCACCCATGGATGGTGTACTGGCAAGGTGCTTATGTGAGATTGTGAGATTTCTTTCTTTCCCTTGTTTGTTGGAAATGAGATATGCCTCACTCACTATTCCAGGACCTTGGTGGCCTGTATTTCTTTTTACTTTTTGGACAGTTTCTGAGCACTAACATCTCCTCTGTTTCGGGCTGTCTCGTGGTCCATTTCCTAAGGCTCACTTGGTCGCACACCCAGCCTTGGCTCTGCTGGGTGAGGGGTGGGTGGGCTCCTGCTTGGACTGCCCGAGGGATGGACAGGCATGGTCCTCCAAAGGTGGAGGTGTTGGGGGCTGGGCACTGCTTTTTTGAAGACTCTTTTTGGCCTCCAAGGCTTGTCAGAACCTCACTGGAGGGGGCGAGATTTCAATTTCAGCATGAACTGGGGTTTTTGGGCCAGGGAATGAGATGAGAAAAGAGAAGAAACAATTCCACATGGGAAGAACCAGTTATGAAAGTGGCTGAAAATGGAACTTTACAGAAACCCAGTGGTAACTGGGTTCTCTATGTCTTGCTAGGGTAAGTTCTGGAGGGTGGGGTCCAAGTTGCCTTACTCTAAATCAGGGGTCAGCACACAAGAGCTAGAGAGTAAGTATTTTAGGTTTTGTGAGCCAGACAAGTCTGTTGTAACCACTCAACCCAAAGCAGCATAGACTGTGTAAGTGGACGGGTGTTTACCAATAAAATGCTATTTTCAGCAACAGGCACCAGTTAGGATTTGGCCTGGGAGCTCTAGTTTGCTGTCATGCTCTGTGAGGAGCAGTGTCATCACAGAGATCTTGGGCTCAAGTGGTATTAGGGCTGAACTCTGTCAAGGAGTATGACCCTCTGTGAGTCAGGAGGGGAGTAGAGAATGAAGGGAAAATGTCTAAGAACAGTAGGACTAAGGGAGGACAGGGAGTAAGGCTCTTTGAGGACCCTATTCACCAGTAATGGATCAAAGAATGAAATCTAGGCATCTTCTGTAAGTAGGCAATTACCACAGGCAGAAGTCCTTGTAAATGTAGAGCAAATACTGACACAATTGTAAGGTGTTACTGCTATAGGCAACACCAGTAGGCAGCAGAGGAACCCTGGTATCTCGGTTGCCTGTTATTTCCGTGTTTGGAAACTGTGTTTTTGGTCCACCAGGTGTCAGTATAGTGCAGAGTATTTTCAAGAACTGGGCTCAAGGAGCCTGTCAGACACCCAGCAATAGATAAACCTCTGAGTGTTTTCAGGGAGCAGATGTTCCCTCAATAATGCATGCTCTATTTGAAAAACAAGTGATTTAATTTAATTAGCCTTCATCTCAGTAACAACAGTTTTATAATTCATGCCAACAGACTGTTGTTAGCTTCTTGTAAGATGGTTTATTTCTCAGGGTTCTTAAGAGACAGTAGAGTGTCACAAACAAAAAACAAACAAGCACAGAACTCAAACAAAATGCAATATTTGTCCTTATAAATCATATTGGAAGAATTATGCATCTATAAATTATGAAAAATCATGCATTTATAAATTATGAAACTAATCTTCAAACCATATCTGGTGGCAAATAGTCCTTCCCCTCTAGGAGTTGCAGTGAAAGCCCTCCCTCCCCACACAGACACACTCTGTCACTGGCTCTGCAGCTCCCCAGAGGCCTTCACACCACAGACTCTAGGCTCTGCCTGGACCACCTACGGATTCAGTTCCATCCTGCCTTCTTTGTTAGTACACAGGACAACGAAAGAAGAAATCAGCACGGGAGGCCTGGATGGTGCCACCTTGTGAATTAAAGGTGGAGAAAAGGTGCATTAATAATATGGACCTGGGGTATTTCTAGTGTGTGGCCTTTGGCCGTCTTCGAATCATATGGCGTTAGGGCCTTAAAGGGAGGTATCTTAGATCGGGGGCTACAGCAGACATACCACACACTAGGTGGCTCAAACAACAAATATTTCTTTCTCACAGCTCTGGAGAATGGAATGTCCAAGATCAAGGCACCAGCGTGGCTGAGCTCCTGTGAGGGCCTCACTGGTTTATGGACCACTTCTTGCTTGCTGTATACCCACACGGTGGAGAGACAGAGAGAAGCTAGCTGTTCTCATATGAGAAGTCTCTTCTCATAAGGACATTAATCCCATCAGGAAGACTCCAACCTCACGACCTCCAAAGGCCCCGCTCCAGATACCATCACACTGGGGGTTAGGGTTTCAATATATGAATTTTGGGAGGACACAAACATGTGGCCTGTAGCACAGGGTGTGTCAGTATAACCTCTGGAAGGTGATTTTGTAACCAGTTACAAACTTTAATGCATATATCTTTGAACAGCAGTTCTGTTTCATAGAATTTATTCTGAATATTACAAAAACATGAATGTGAGAGCAGATATATTCAGGACAGCTATTACAGCATTAGCATAGTAAAAACTGGATTAACTACGTGTCCAGCAATAACCTGCTATTCGGTTATTGTTAAGTTGGGGAACAATTCCAAATTCCATGCAGCATTTGGCTTTCCTTGGACAGGATTTTTTAATCTTCTGTTTATTAGTGGCCCCAGGTTATGCCTGTACACCTAGTATATAGGAATCTACTGAACTCACACTTTAAATTGTAGCTGAATCTCACGTCACTGTCACTGTGTGTCCATACAACCCCTTTCTGGCCTCTTCACAGGGCTAATCAACAGTATGAAATGTAACCCCGCCACCCCCGACCCCAACCTGAAATCAGAGATGTTGTTGTGTCTTGCATGTCAGCCTGAGATTTGCAGTCACCCATGGATGGTGTACTGGCAAGGTGCTTATGTGAGATTGTGAGATTTCTTTCTTTCCCTTGTTTGTTGGAAATGAGATATGCCTCACTCACTATTCCAGGACCTTGGTGGCCTGTATTTCTTTTTACTTTTTGGACAGTTTCTGAGCACTAACATCTCCTCTGTTTCGGGCTGTCTCGTGGTCCATTTCCTAAGGCTCACTTGGTCGCACACCCAGCCTTGGCTCTGCTGGGTGAGGGGTGGGTGGGCTCCTGCTTGGACTGCCCGAGGGATGGACAGGCATGGTCCTCCAAAGGTGGAGGTGTTGGGGGCTGGGCACTGCTTTTTTGAAGACTCTTTTTGGCCTCCAAGGCTTGTCAGAACCTCACTGGAGGGGGCGAGATTTCAATTTCAGCATGAACTGGGGTTTTTGGGCCAGGGAATGAGATGAGAAAAGAGAAGAAACAATTCCACATGGGAAGAACCAGTTATGAAAGTGGCTGAAAATGGAACTTTACAGAAACCCAGTGGTAACTGGGTTCTCTATGTCTTGCTAGGGTAAGTTCTGGAGGGTGGGGTCCAAGTTGCCTTACTCTAAATCAGGGGTCAGCACACAAGAGCTAGAGAGTAAGTATTTTAGGTTTTGTGAGCCAGACAAGTCTGTTGTAACCACTCAACCCAAAGCAGCATAGACTGTGTAAGTGGACGGGTGTTTACCAATAAAATGCTATTTTCAGCAACAGGCACCAGTTAGGATTTGGCCTGGGAGCTCTAGTTTGCTGTCATGCTCTGTGAGGAGCAGTGTCATCACAGAGATCTTGGGCTCAAGTGGTATTAGGGCTGAACTCTGTCAAGGAGTATGACCCTCTGTGAGTCAGGAGGGGAGTAGAGAATGAAGGGAAAATGTCTAAGAACAGTAGGACTAAGGGAGGACAGGGAGTAAGGCTCTTTGAGGACCCTATTCACCAGTAATGGATCAAAGAATGAAATCTAGGCATCTTCTGTAAGTAGGCAATTACCACAGGCAGAAGTCCTTGTAAATGTAGAGCAAATACTGACACAATTGTAAGGTGTTACTGCTATAGGCAACACCAGTAGGCAGCAGAGGAACCCTGGTATCTCGGTTGCCTGTTATTTCCGTGTTTGGAAACTGTGTTTTTGGTCCACCAGGTGTCAGTATAGTGCAGAGTATTTTCAAGAACTGGGCTCAAGGAGCCTGTCAGACACCCAGCAATAGATAAACCTCTGAGTGTTTTCAGGGAGCAGATGTTCCCTCAATAATGCATGCTCTATTTGAAAAACAAGTGATTTAATTTAATTAGCCTTCATCTCAGTAACAACAGTTTTATAATTCATGCCAACAGACTGTTGTTAGCTTCTTGTAAGATGGTTTATTTCTCAGGGTTCTTAAGAGACAGTAGAGTGTCACAAACAAAAAACAAACAAGCACAGAACTCAAACAAAATGCAATATTTGTCCTTATAAATCATATTGGAAGAATTATGCATCTATAAATTATGAAAAATCATGCATTTATAAATTATGAAACTAATCTTCAAACCATATCTGGTGGCAAATAGTCCTTCCCCTCTAGGAGTTGCAGTGAAAGCCCTCCCTCCCCACACAGACACACTCTGTCACTGGCTCTGCAGCTCCCCAGAGGCCTTCACACCACAGACTCTAGGCTCTGCCTGGACCACCTACGGATTCAGTTCCATCCTGCCTTCTTTGTTAGTACACAGGACAACGAAAGAAGAAATCAGCACGGGAGGCCTGGATGGTGCCACCTTGTGAATTAAAGGTGGAGAAAAGGTGCATTAATAATATGGACCTGGGGTATTTCTAGTGTGTGGCCTTTGGCCGTCTTCGAATCATATGGCGTTAGGGCCTTAAAGGGAGGTATCTTAGATCGGGGGCTACAGCAGACATACCACACACTAGGTGGCTCAAACAACAAATATTTCTTTCTCACAGCTCTGGAGAATGGAATGTCCAAGATCAAGGCACCAGCGTGGCTGAGCTCCTGTGAGGGCCTCACTGGTTTATGGACCACTTCTTGCTTGCTGTATACCCACACGGTGGAGAGACAGAGAGAAGCTAGCTGTTCTCATATGAGAAGTCTCTTCTCATAAGGACATTAATCCCATCAGGAAGACTCCAACCTCACGACCTCCAAAGGCCCCGCTCCAGATACCATCACACTGGGGGTTAGGGTTTCAATATATGAATTTTGGGAGGACACAAACATGTGGCCTGTAGCACAGGGTGTGTCAGTATAACCTCTGGAAGGTGATTTTGTAACCAGTTACAAACTTTAATGCATATATCTTTGAACAGCAGTTCTGTTTCATAGAATTTATTCTGAATATTACAAAAACATGAATGTGAGAGCGGATATATTCAGGACAGCTATTACAGCATTAGCATAGTAAAAACTGGATTAACTACGTGTCCAGCAATAACCTGCTATTCGGTTATTGTTAAGTTGGGGATAATTGTTTGACATGGAAAGATGTTAAGTTAATCAGGCTATAAAAACAGTGTGTATAGTAGGATCCTGTTTTTGTTGAAGTGCTCATAGGTGTGCACATGGGCACTGTCCGAAAGGAGATGCAGCTAAGTCTTAACAGTGGTTATCTTTGGGTAGTGGGATTGTAATTATAGTATTTTTCTTGATTACCTATACTTTCAAAAACTTGTAGCATGGATAGGTAAAGAGATAAATTGTGTTGTAATCTATAACCATGAAAACAGAAAACTAACTGCATTAAAAAAAACCATGTTTTTCATCCATAGACATGAACTTAGAACTTGGAATAGAGGCAGGTATTTTGTGACTTACAAAAAGATGGATCTTTTAAATACCTCAAGTAGTCTGTAGCCAAGTAGTACATACGTACTCTCCAGAAAGATACCAGTTCGTATCTCATAGCAGTGTGTGAAGGCATTGATTTCATGACCCTCTATATTAGATACTAAATTTTAAAACTCACTAGTTTCTTGGGCAAAACCTAGTATATCATTGTTTTAATTTAAAGTTCTTTTATTATTAGGGAGATTGAATAACTTTCCCTGTGTTTATTGGCCATGTGTATTCATTACTGGCCAAATACACCATAAAGAAAATCGAGAGATGATTAACAAACTAGGAAAAAATACTGGCAACATATAAAACAGGCTGGAGTCTAATACTGTTATTGTATAATGAGTGTTTATAAATCGCTAAGAAAAGAAATCAACTACCAAAAAGAAAAACAGTTAGTGGATACCTTTAAGTGATGGATCTAACAATTCAGATTGTCAGCTGACTGATCTGAATTGGGGAATACAATTACAAATTTAATAAACATTTAATCAACATTCTTATCCCCACTATATAAATGAAAAATCCGAGTTCTCATTGCAGACTAGCTCTGGAATTGAGCTATGGATCCAGGCTTACCTGACCACAAAGGCATTCTTGCCACTGTGCAAAACCCCTGCTCTGTACTTGGGTACCTTCCTGCCCCTCCCATGACTTAGGTGACCCCTAGGTGACCCCAGGCTTAGATGACCTGACCTAGGAGAAAGGGCACAGACCAGGGAAATGTGGGAGGTTTGGCCATCCCTTAGAGCCAACTGCTGGAACATTCCTTGGGAGTGAAGAAAGCTAATTACAATTTGCCAAGATTTGAGTAACCATGTAAATATTATAAGATTATGCTTACCAGTGCCCAGAGCCAGGTATGAATTCCATCACTTATTGCTCTATCAGCCTAGAAAATAATTCTCGGTTTTAGCAGCACTAACTAGAATTTTAAAATTATAGTTTTGTTTCTTCCTGAAGAAATTATTTTGTAAAAACCAGTTGAAGAGATGGCAAACATAAAGAGGCACCACTCCATAGCTCAAGTTTCACCTTGTCTCCACCCTACCTGGAAAAGTATAGAAGACTCAGTTGCCACACATTTTATCTGCCCCAGGTTACTGTCGAAAGCTCTGACCCCTCCATGTTGAGATAGCAGGTTAACAGTTGTGGAAACCTTGTAAGCCAGAGATCCAAATGCAAGTTCCCGAAGCAGCAAGTGTATAAACAATTCTTCAGGCCATGGAAGTGCAGCTGCTAACTGACTGACTGTTCTCCTTGCAGCTCTTTCGTGGAGAGAGACCTGTGTGTGGACTCCCAGGACTACCAGGCTGACTTCTGCCCTTCTGTCCTGCTAGCTTGTAGATTTCATGAGTGCAGTGTTGCCTAGAATTTGAGAATAAATATTTAATGAGGAATAAATTTGTGACAAAGTCTTTGGGGACCGTAAGAGACTCATTACTGTGAATAATGGACCAAAGGAGGAAATTATGTTGAAGAAAATGTATTTGACTTGTATGCTTAAAACTGAGGAATAAGAGGATACAAGAGAACCCAATGTAAGACATATTTAATAGTCATTTTGCTCATTGGAGAACCTTTTGGTGAGAAGAGGAAACCTATTCTCTGACCCCAGGTCCTTACATCCATATCCCTACCTGACATCTCTGCTTGAATGTTCCAGAAACTTCTCAAGACTTAGTTGAGGATTTTCCCAGTCAAACCTCTTCCAGTTTGTTGCATCTAAGTGCACCACCGTCCATCACACTCTTTAAACTGGAAACCTGGGAGTTATTGTTGGTGTCTTCTATGCTCATCCCTCAGTGGAAATCAACACCAAGTCCTACTGATTTCTCAAATCGGTCCATTCTTTCCATCTCCATCATCTCTTGTCTGGGCCACTGCAGTGCCCCCCAGATCTCCTGCCTGCACATGCCAAATGCCATTCTAGTCTGTTCCCCATACTGTAGCCAGAGCAGTCTTTTCAAAATGCGAATAAAATCTTGTTACATCTACCTACCTCTGGGTTTGTCTCTCCATCTACTCAAACTACAATTTCCTCTTGCCACAGGACCTTTGGATATGCTGTACTTAATGTATGGAATGTTGCATCCCTTCCACTTCTCTACCCCAACCTCTGTACCCAAGTTAACTTTGGATTCTATCTCATATATCACTTATTTGAGGAATGTTTCCCTATTCTCACTAACTAGGTCAGATGCCCTTCTAGTATAGCATGGCCCTTTACTCTCCTTTGTAATACCTATCAAAGTAATAGTTTATATTCATTTGTATGAATAAAACACACATGGTTCCCACATTTATGAAACTTACAGTTTATTTGAGGGGTAGGAGATGCATTAATAATATATGCAAAAGTTCCCTTATCTGACTCTGTTAGATAATTGGTGGGTTAATTTAAAGTCAGATAAATCATGGAATCATCTTTTAGTGAAACAATATTTTAATTTCAGATATATGAAATCCTTTTGGTAAGGATTTCCCTTGTGTTTGGCTTATTGACTAGTGTTCCCTGGAGCCTTCTTGCAAAAACTGCATTTACCATATACCCTATGATTTTCAGTGGAGCCAGAACTTTGATGGTTTGGAACAATATACATGCAGAATCCTTCTCGAATTATAATTCTTTCCTTCTCCCTCAATCCCTTCATACTTTTCTTGCCCACACCTGTTTTGACAGCAGTTTTTTCAGGGATTTGTATTTATTATTCTGTGTGGGGAAGGAAGGCAGCTTTCACGCTTATAAGAGCTTGGAGGGCCGAAGAGGCTCTGCGGCTGACCATTCTCCTGCAGGTGTGAACTTCTGCCATTGGCACACATTGCTTTGACTTATCCCCATTGGAAACAGGCCCTGAGCGAGAGCACAAGCTCCAGTGGCCCTGTGCCTGGGTCAGAGGCCTGTGTTGACAGCCAAATGCTTACATGGCCATCTGGTAGTATTTCCCAGGAGTCTCTTTGGATATATTTTTTCTAGTTAAAATGATTATCTTGTGTATTTTAGGGTTGAAGGCTTAAAATACAAGATGTTCCCTAGCCATGTTTTCTTATTCCCTCCCATGGCCCCTCAGATGCCCTGATGTCTGTTGGAGTATATGACTCAGCAGGAGTTTCTAAAGAGGAATGGAGCACTTACCTTACAGCCCAAAGTGCTGGGCCTGCTGCAGGCCAGCCAGCGACTGTTTTACCCAGCACCCTCTCCCTTCATCACCAAGGCTCCATGCCTAACGTGCTCTGGGCCTCTTCTGGTGTGTGGCCGGCCATGGCCTGATCCCATCTCCTTGACCCTTGTGAGCTCTGTGTCTAATGGGAAAGCCTTTTCCTAGAAGAGTAGCAATTGGCTGGGATGCTGACCAGTTAGGATGGAGGACAGCATCTTCCTTTCTGTGCTCACCTTTTGGTGAGAAGAGCAGAGATCAATTATTGTCACTGGAGTAATAACAGAGAATATTCCTCAGATCATTAGCTGCTTGGTCTGCTACCAGAGCAAAATCATGTCATGTTTGCAGCTAATCTGATCACATGGCAGCATCTCCCATTAGACAGTGTGATCCTTGAGGGCAAAGTATGAAAGGGTGGCTAAAAACTATGGCTTCAGAGTCAGGCAGACCTGAATTCAAACCCTGGCTTTGCCATCACCAGCTCTTCTGACCACAGGCAAATCATTTACACCCTTTGCGCCTCAGTTTCCTCATCTACACAATGGGGATAGTAATTAATACTTTTCACATAAAATTGTTGTGCAGATTTCAAAAAGATACAGGCTAGAAAACATTTAACACAGCGTCTGCTTTGTAGCAAATTCTTAATAAATGTTAATTGTGATGCTGCTGTTAATAATAATTCTGGTGAGGTCAGCACCTTGCGAGTTGCTTTAAGTTTTGGCTGAATAATATATAGGAGTAAAGTTTAAAGGCCTGAGTAGAGACTAGAAACATGTTAATGCTAGGTTGCCTGGGAAGTTGTAGAACAGCAGGTCTTACCATAGATGGAGGGCCTGCCCATCCTAATAAAATAAACAAAGAACACTTCTTGAGCAGGTATCATCTCAGGAGAGAAGTTCATTGAGTTGGTTGGTTTATTATGTTATACCCTGCTGGAATGGTTTCCTTTATTTATATCTGTTATTAGAACTCTGGAAACTTGCCTTAGTGGACTGAATGCATTTGTAACTGCTGGGGGAAGCAAGTTTCAACCTCAGTGATATGCACTCCATGTAAAACTGGGATTTCGCTTTTCTTGAGAACAGCAAGATTCTAAACTCATGAAAAAGCAGCTCTTGGTGTGGCTGCAGTTAAATAAAAGAAACATGCCTTTTCAGAAGTCCTTAGAGATATCCTAAACTGGCATTCCAGGTTAATGGTTGATGACACCAGCACATGGCCACCAGCTAGAGTTCTAGCACCTTTAAAAATCTCATCCTTTGACACTGTTCCCTTTTGTTGTGGTTCCACGGAGCTGTTTGATATATTGCCTAGTTAAATAGCCTTTTAAAATTTTTAATAATTTGGCATGGGTTCAAAGCCTCTGACTACTTAAAATCCAAATAATAATGTTCACTGCTCCTTCAAAAAACCCAGATCTGTTCTCTGCCAGCCCACAGGAAAGCTTCTTCCTTCTCCAGCCCATTTATGCCCTGTTGCGGGGTCAGTAATGCTGGGTGGTTGGGGTGTGATGGCTTTGTCAGCCTCCATCCCTGTCCGTGGCTACAGACCACGTCACACTTGACGAGCCACTTGGATAGTTAAGCGACCACTGTTGGTGCTTCGGTGCATAGCCAGGGTCATGCCTTCCAGATAAGTTTTTTTAGACATAAAATGGCAGAAGTATTGTGGCCTTGTTCCTCCTTCCAGATCTGATGTTCTGATGTGGCTTCCTGCTTCAGTGCTGTTTGTGGGAATAATCTACGCTGGTTCCAGAGCACTGTCCAGACTGGTAAGTGTTAGAGGTTTGGGGGCGACAGCTTCTCTCTCCTCTTCGCCTTTGCCTTTTAACTTACCGTGCCTCAGATCAGTTGGGACAAAGCATCTGCTTTAATAATGATACAGCTAGATTGGAGAACCAGTCTTGGACCTGGGGCCAGTGTGGAGCCTGTTATCCCCTCCTTCCTGAGTTGAAGGTGAGTGGTTAGCAGGGAAGGGCCAAATAATTCTACAAAATAAAGAGACCCAGCTGGAGATGCAGGAAGAGCCAACAGCCATATTTGTGGAGGCTGCCATAGGGAGAGCCAGCCTGCTGTGCCTGAAAGCCGGCTGTCCACTGGAGCAGAAGAGAGGGTTCAGCCTGCTCCTTGCTTTGAGGAACCATAACACTGTCCGTCGGTAGCATGGCCTGAGGTGTGCTGGGCTCAGTTGTGGATGTAAATGCCTGGCACAAAGTTGATACATAGTATATAGGGATGCTAGTAAATGAGTGTCCATCCTATCTGTCCACCCCAGCCGCCCAGGATTGAGCTTCTCAAAGGAGGGAACTGTGAAGTGCAAACTTGACAGTTACATTGTATGAAACTAAAATTTAGTTATTTTGCCATCAACAGAGAATCCATGAATACCACCACTGTCCCGAGACTCAAAGTAAGTCTTAAAAATCAGGAATGGTAGTAATGCCTCTCTTCCTGTCCTCCCTGATTCTTAACCATTTTTATCTCTCAGAAAAATGACTGTATTCTGACTTTTGGAAAAAACACAAAATTTGGAAAACAATTTAGTCTTTTTATGTAAAGTTTGTTGTGCTGGTTCCTTAGATCTCAAATATGACAACAGTAAAAACAAACAAAACTGCCTAGCTGGATAATGATATTGTTAGGACAACTCCAAAGTTGCAAAACAGTGGTTGACAATTAATGGCAGTCATTTCTAAGTTGAATCATCATTTTTCTTTCATGATTCATAAGTTGAGTGGTGGGATGAGGTGTGCAATGGAGGGGAAATGGTGGGCCTAAGAAATGACCCACACTGGTGCTCAACCCAGAACAGGAGGCCAGTGCTGGCTTTCCGCTGCCTCTTCCTGATTCTGTCAGGTTCCTGCAAGTCTGTGGCCATACTTTGAATCCTCTGGCATGCAGAGGGTGCTTCTTGTCCTGTAGCAGAATATAGGACTTGATTAAAAAACAATGTGTTGTTGTCCAAAGGCTCTAAATTTTTTTTATAGGATCTGGATAGTTATGGATGCCAGAGTTTTGAAGTTTTAATAAGCATGGTGTTGTGCCAATAATAACAGCATTTTTTGTTAGTGCTTTTTCATATATTTTCCAGGTATTCCTCTGTTTCTATGTCATTCTCAGTTACCTGACAGGTGATGCATATGTAATCATCTGACAGAGGAAGGAACTCACATGTGCAAAGACTTGGTAACCTGCCTCTAGTCTAGATGGTGGCAGCTCTTCTGAGTCCCCACCTTTTGTCTTTTCAGATTGGACTCTTTAGGACCAACATGAGTGGATTTTGGAATGTGCCCAGGGTATAGTAGTCATGCATAATAACTTCAGACTCTTTGGGTTGCAAATGTTAGCTCACAAACTGGTTTAAGCAAAAGGGAAATTGACTGGTTCACATTCATGAGAAGTTACAGGGTAGAGGTCTACTTCAGGTATGGCTTGATCCAGAGGTTCCAATGACATACTCTGAATCTGGTTTCTGTCTCTCTGTCTTCAGTTTTGCTATATTTTCACAGCCAGGCTCTCCTCTCATGGGTGTTGGTGACTCTAGGCTCACATCCTCACAATGGAAAGGATGGAAAGTATAATGGAAATAAACTATCTTCCACATAGCTCCTGCATGAGTCCCAGGATTCACTCTGATTGCATCAGTCAAGGCCACTGCTTAGCCCAGTTCTGTAAGCTAACCAGGAGGATAGAATTATGCTGATTGGCCAGCCCCAGACCGTGGTCTCCCTGAATCACTCCCTGTGGCTGGAAAGACCTAGAGCACTGTTTGGCCAGCCCTGGTTGTGCAGGGTCCCCACCCTGATCCTATAGACTGAGAGAAGGTGTAGCAGA